ACACACAGTCACACATACACTGCTTACATACACACAAACACAGACACACACAACAACGCGCACGCGCGCACGCGCACACGCGCGCACGCCCACACGCGCACACGCGCACACGCGCGCACGCGCGCACGCGCGCACGCGCACATGCACACACACACACGCAGAAACACACAGAGACACACACAGACACAAACAGAGACACGCACAGAGACACACAGACACACAGAGACAGACACAGAGACACGCAGACACACAGAGACACACACAGAGAGACGTGATGTGGAGAAGCTGTTGGAGAATGTAATTCGCGCGCGAATCCCGAAGCCCGAATCTGGGGATGGGGCCTTCCCAGTCCCAAATTGTAAATCCCGAAAATGTGATTCGAGTCCCAAATCACGAAAATGTGATTCGAGCCCCGAAATCTCGAATCCCGAGAATGTCATTTAATCCTGAAATGTGAGTAAATCCTGACTCACGAAATTGGCAGCGACCTCCGGGTCGCCACTCCACACACACAGAGACACAGAGACACAGAGACACAGACAGAGACAGACACACAGACACACAGAGACACAGAGACACACAAACACACACAGACACCCGCAGACACCCACAGACACACACACAGGGCAAGCCGAGGCACACACAGAGGCACACACAGCGGCACACACAGAGACACGCCCAGAGACACACACAGGGACACACAGAGACACGCAGCCACACGGAGACATACAGAAACACAGAGACAGACACACAGAGACGCACAGACACACTGAGACACACACAGACACACAGACACGCAAAGACACGCAGACACACAGACACACAGACACACAGACACGCAGAGACATGGACACACAAACACAGACACAGAGACACAAACACACAGACACACAAACACACACACAGACACACAGACACACAGACACACACAAACACACACACAAACAAACACAAAAACGCACACACAAACACACACAGACACACAAACACAAACACACACAAACACACACACGCACACGCACACGCACAGGCACAGGCACAGGCACAGGCACACGCACACAAACACAAACACAAACACAAACACAAACACATACATACAAACACAAACACAAACACAAACACAAAAACACAAACACAAACACAAACACAAACACAAACACAAACACACACACACACCCACACACACACACACGCACACACGCACACACGCACACACGCACACACGCACACACACACAAACACAACACAAACACAAACACGTACACGAGCACACAAACACGCACACACAAACACACAGTCACACATACATACACTGCTTACATACCACACACACACACAACAACGCGCACGCGCACACGCGCACGCGCGCACACGCCCACACGCGCACACGCGCACGCGCGCACGCGCACATGCACACACACACACGCAGAAACACACAGAGACACATACATAGATATAAACAGAGACACGCACAGAGACACACAGACACACAGAGACAGACACAGAGACACGCAGACACACAGAGACACACACACAGAGAGACGTGATCTAAAGAAGCTGTTGGAGAATGTAACTCGCGCGCGAATCCCGAATCCCGAATCTGAGGATGGGGCCTTTCCAGCCCTGAATCCCAAATCCCGAACTTCGAATCTGAGAATGGGGCCTTCCAAGTCCAAAATCCCAAACCCCGAACCCCGACCCCCGAATCCCGAATCCGAAGCCTGCATGAACTCCGGACCCCGAAGCCCGAATCTGCTTCCCAGTCCCAAATTGTAAATCCCGAAAATGTGATTCGAGTCCCGAATCCCAAATCACGAAAATGTGATTCGAGTCCCGAAATCTCGAATCCCGAGAATGTGATTTCATCCTGAATCACGAAATTGGCAGCGACCTCCGGGTCGCCACTCCACACACACACAGAGACACAGAGACACACAGAGACACAGAGACACACACAGACACACAGAGACAGACACACAAACACACAGAGACACAGAGACACACAGACACACAGAGACACACAGAGACACACAGGGACAGACACACAGAGACACAGAGACAGAGGCACACACAGAGGCACACACAGAGGCACACACAGAGGCACACACAGAGGCACACACAGAGACACCCAGAGACACACTCACACAGGGACACACAGAGACACGCAGATATAGAGATACAGAGACAGACACACAGAGACGCACAGACACACTGAGACACACACAGACACACAGACACGCAGAGACACGCAGACACACAGACACACAGACACGCAGAGACATGGACACACAAACACAGACACAGAGACACAAACACACAGACACACAAACACATACACAGACACACAGACAAACATCGACGCAGAGACACACGCACACAGAGACACACACACAGAAACACACACACACAGACCCACACACACACGCAGACAAACACACAGAGAAACACACTCAACCACACAAACACACACACACAAACACAAACACAAACACAAGCAAAAACAACCACAAACACAAACACAAACACACACACACACACACACACACACACACACACACACACACACACACACACACACACACACACACACACACACACACACACACACACACACACACACACACACACACACACACACACACACACACACACACACACACACACACACACACACACACACACACACACACACACACACACACACACACACACACACACACACACACACACACACACACACACACACACACACACACACACACACACACACGCGCACCCACACACAGACCCACACACACACGCAGACAAACACACAGAGAAACACACTCAACCACACAAACACACACACACACACACGCAAACACACACACAAACACCCACAGAGGCACACACAAACACACACAAACACAAACACACACACACAAACACAAACACAGACACAAACACAAACACACACAAACACAAACACACACGCACACACGCACACACACACAGACACACACAAACACATACACACAAACACACAAACACACACAAACATACACACACACACACAAACGCACACGCAAACACACACAGACACACACACACACGAACACAACACACACACAGAGACACACACAGAAGACACACACACACACACTCAGACACGCACACGCACAATCACACCCACCCCACCCCACCCCACCCCACCCCACCCCACACCGCCCCACACCAACACCACACCGCACCACGTCACGTCACGTCACGGCACGTCGCACCACATCACACACACCACACAACCCACACAACCCCCCACAACACACACCACACAACCCACACACACCACACACGAGACACGAGACACAACATACGACGCACGGCACACAACACAACTCCCCTCTCCCCACTCCACTCCCCGCTCCCTACCCCCACCCCCAGCTCAAAGGGCTAGGCCAGATCCAAAGCAAACATAGATCAACCATCAGAGTCCTCAAAACATATACTAGTACCAAACCACACCGCAGCACGATTCGGCGGAATGAGCTGGTGGCTTGAAAGTAGACGCCTTCCTTACTCGTCGCCTGTGTTGTATGTTGTGATTTTGATAGAGCAGCCCCCTCCACCAAACGCTTGAGCCAAGCAGAGGGCAGCGCAACGCAGCCTGCCACGCCTGGCCACGCGTGTCAAGTGTCGTTTACTGGCGCACAGATTCAAACCTAAACCTGCAAACGAACACCCCCCAACTGCCCTTTTGGCCTCCACATCAGCGTCTTGCTTCGTGGTGCGCTGGCACACGTGTTTGCCGCGTCTCCGTGAGCATCCCCCCAAAAAATGAAAAAAAAGGAGCCAAACGATTGCCTGAAAGCCGAACCACCCAGTGCTGATTTTTGCGACCAGCGTCTCAATGTTGTGATGCGCTAAGCGGCTAAGAGGGCCTGGATAACTGCAATGGGCTTCGCGAACAAAGGAATTTGCTGATAACGGCCCAGCGCCTTTAGAAGGTTAACTGGCCGAATCATTGCGCCAAGCGAAAACTTTGGGAATCAAAAATGGGCAGCTGCAACATCCAATTGAAAGGGTATGTGTTTTCTTGAGGGCACCCTTTTCAGACTGGTTGAAAGAATGGAAACACACTGCTTAGAAAAGCTTGCGCCAAATCCACACGAAAACTTCGCAAACCGAGCGCAACGAAATCTAGCGCGCGTGCAAGTCCGCGCAAGTGCAGCGCAAGTGCGGCCCAAGGACCCAATCCCGGGCAAAAGAATTTAGTTAGGACTACCCCAAACGTTGTTTGTTGTTCACACGGCAACCCACGCTTCTCGCTGAGGTTGCTCCCAGCAGTTCTAGGCCAGCAACATACTCTTGACCCAACAGGAAACAAAGCAGGAAAAAGGAGAGTGCGTGTTGCGGCTGCCTATCCATTGCTTAAACCGCCGCTAAGGACATCCGAGACGGCAAACGGCTAGATGTCTTGCTGGGACTTCTCGTGCTTGCGCGCAACTTGCGCGCGGCTTGCGCGGATTTTCTTGTGTCAGTTGCTGATTGTTGAAGTCATGACCGCAGAAGCTTTGGCTTCCTTTGGCGTCTGATTGAAGAAAACGCTGCAGACGGCAAACTGCAGATGTGTGTGCGTGTGCGTTTCAGCCCTTTGCCCTGGACAACTCGCAAAAGTTTAGAAGGCAGAAGCACACGCTCCCTTGCAGGAACCCTTGCCAACCAGCTTGTGGCCTACACGCGACATGCAAGTGCAGTAAAAAGATATCACTCCTTTCATGAAGCTAGGCAACATCAATGCATGAAACCCTTCAAAACTGTAACCTTGCGCATTTTTTGGGCCGCACTTGCGCGCACCTTGCGCGCACAGCTTTTGACAACTTCTACTCCTCCCTGTCCGGCGACAATTAAAACCGAAGACTGGGGTTTAGGACGGCCCTCATTTGACACCCCGGTATTTGACGCAGTAAAGATCATTCCTCTTGCTTCTTGCTGCCCTCGACGGCCGCCCTTCGCTGTTTCTTCCAGGCGCGCGTGGCATCCAAAGCGAGAAGCCACGGCACTGTCCGGAGACCCTCATCGCGCCGTCGCACGCTTGTCTTCACAAATAATTGTGCTTCTTTCGAAGCCTTTAGACCCGCTGAAAAGCTGAAAAGGCTGCTCACTGCGCAAACGGTGGAGAGCGCTCGGCGCCCGCTGCTTTCAATGAACTTCAGGTTCGGTTACACTACGATTCGGTAAGGCGGGCTCGCACTCTTGCAAGTGAGCACTCCACAAAGCTCGAAACTGCCATCAAGTCCCAACATTAAACAAGCCTGAGCCAGGCGTAGGAGACCGAAGGCCTCTAACTGCGATGGACGGGCAACCGCCTCGCGCATCCCCACTTGTCGCAACCAAAATGAGCAGTGTAACTATCCGGAGACCCTCATCGCAAATTCGCGAGCTTGTTGTCAAGCCCACAATAATTCTGCTGCTGACGAAACTTTAAGATCATGACGGCCGTTGGAAAGCTGAAAAGACTGCTCACCACGTAAGCTCGCGGCCCTCTGCTTTAAATGAACTTGTCGAGTCTTGTCGCCCATGAGCCGTGCTGCAACGCTTCAGGCACACGGCTCCCCTTCTGAAGCCAGCACGCGGTCTGTCCACCTGTCTCACTCACCTACTCCCCAGCCTTTCTATGTCCTTTTGCAGGCCTTGTGGCTCTCTTTGCAGGAGCGGAACATCTTCAGAAAGCTCAAGTTCATTCGCCCTAAAATTGGGTAAGGCGGGCTCACAAGCTGCAAGCGAGAAAAGTGCTTTGACCCACTCACCCTTGGACGTGCCGCGATGCCAGATGCTCCAGGGAAGACGCGCTGAGTTCCATGACGAAATGAGTTTGAAGGTCAAGTTTTCCGACGCTATCGTTGACTTAGTTTCGGTCGCGCGGAACCGCTACTGCTCCTTAAGCAAGCAAAGCTATCAACTTTGTTGAGAGGCATAGAAGGAGCAGCTTGAGCCGCTTGTGGAAGAAGGAGCCTATTAGGCGAGGCATCCGTTTCGCGATCTCTACACAAAGAACTCAACACTACCATCAAGTCCCAACATTAAACAAGCCTGATCCAGGGAGAAGACATTTAAAACACGCACTGCAGACCGCTGCCTGCAACTTGAGTTGTTGCCATGTGCCTCCAGAGCAGACGGAAACGCCCCCTGCTAAATACGACTCATGCTTCGGGTTGCCAGCGCGGCTGACGAATCAGTTGAGTGTGTTGGCGGCTTCCCTTTCGGACTTTGCCCAAGGTGCCTTCTGAAAGGATACGAAGGACCCCTAACTTTGACAAGCCCCCACGTCCTCAAAAAAGAGACCAGGAGTTCCTCCAAAATTACCGACCTGGGAATTGGGAAGCAAAACCCGAGTCACAAACTTGGAACCCAGCAGACTCCACTGAGTCTGCTTCAAAAACTGAAGGGCGTTCCGAGCGACCCTGATAATCAGGCGCACTCATGTAGTCTGCGATAGACGGGCAACTGCCTCGCGCCGCCCAACTTCTCACAATGAGAATTTGCTTTCCCGTCTTCTCTGTTTACAAGGTAACGATGAACATCCGAATACTTGCCTGGTTGTGGACAAACTTGGCATCTTGGCTTTCCGGCATCTTGGCTTCATGGGTCGATGGTCTATGGCTCAGGCTCTGGCACTCGTAAGGACCTTGCAGCTTCAAACTGAAAGAGAATGGGCAGCTTGCCCGCTACGCCCCCCTTTGTGCCAAGTCTAAGTATGGCAAGGAAAGTTCAAGTCAAGAAGGCGCAGGAAACTCAGTCACTCAGCTGGTCAGAATGTGTTGCTGGTTCCTTGTTTCTGCCTCGCTTTTGCGCTCTCACTGCGGTCCTTTGAGGACGCAGGCGATTCTTCGTGGCAGTGGATCCTTCACAGGCACGGCTTCCAAAGTTTTTCTTTGAGTGCGTTGCACATGATCCACTCCACTATACAACCTGGCTATCTCTTGAAGGATGCAATGATGCAAAAGAGGCAGCGAGAAGGCAACAGCGCTACTCTGCGTGAGCAAAGAAACTCGTATGCTTCTCTGTCCGCGTCAAGCGGGTGAGGAAAAGGCAAAACCTAACAGCTCGGTTCTGGAAACTTCACCGTCAATTGTCCCGATTTCGTGCTGAGTCAGCAAGATGTCACGGTCAACTGGCACAGGCGCATTTCACAGTTGTGATTCGGACAGCTTTTCTCAGTCGCATGTGCCCTGGTTGTTTGGGGACAGCACACGACCCTGCCAGCCCTAATTTGTTTCCTCTTCGCGACCTCATGGAGAGGACGAAATTGGAGCGCTGGAGCCCATAAATCGCTGCAGGAGACTCCAACTTCTTGATTTGTGACCAAGAAGCCAAAATGCAGATTTACTTTGACAACGCGCCTTCGAGACGCTCGGATCACCCAAAAACTTGTTCACAAGTGTCCTTTCGGTCCTATAGTCCACGCGCTCAACGCAAGCCCTGGGCTTGCATTACTTCGGTTGCGAACCTTAGAACCACTCTCTAAGCTTGGCTTGAAGATTTTAAGTAGCTGGCCGCGAGTCGCAACACGCGACCCAGGCGCAAGGGTTTCTAACAAAGAAATTGAACTAGCAACGGGCGTGCTCGGCGCGCCTCACATCTGAGTACCGGAACGCTTTGCGCAGCACTCGGGCCCCCTTCAGGGACCGGTTGCCAGCACAGCGCCCAGTTGCTGGTCAGCCGCTGCCAAGCAATCACGCAAAGAGCCAAACGCAAGCCAAGGCACTGTGGACCCTGTTGCAAGACACCGTTGCCTTTGTGAAGGCTGCGATTGGCCTCTCAAAAGCAAACGGACCCGCCAACTTGGCAAGAGAAACGAAGGCTTCTCGACAGTTGCAAAGCACTTTCGATCAACAAAGGACCTGCTCAGTCACTCTGAAAGGCGGAAACGGCTCCCGCCAAAGTACTCAGGCGCAAGGTGTCTAAAGGTCAGAGATCGGACGCGAAGATATTAGAACCCAGTGTGGGCCCTCCTCCCAGGATCGGGACGTAATGGGCAGCAGGCACTCAGCGCATTTGCCATCATCATCACTCCCCGCATCTTCACGCAGCCCCGCTCTCGGATTTGCAGGCGCCAGTCAGTAAAACGGTGCATTGCCTGCCCAGTTGCTGGTCAGCCGGCACCCACAAATCGCACGACGAGCAAAGCGCAAGCCACGGTGCTGTGGGCCCTGTCGAGAGAGGCAGCGGCCCTTGCGAATGTTGGGATCCATCTCTCGAAAACAATAGAAATTGCCAACTTGGCCAAAGGCAAAACGGCGGCTTCTTGGCAGTCGCAAAGCACTCAGTCGCAACGGATGAAGCGGCTCCCACCGAAGTACTCAGGCGAAAGAGCCGTAAGGCCGGAGATCAGGCACGAACCCGCAAGCAAAGGGCTCTTTGCAACTGCTGGTCAGCTGCCAACAAAACACGCAACGTGCAGAAAACAAGTCAAGATGCTTGCGGACTCTGTCGAAAGCCACAATTGCCTTTGCGAAGGCTTCGGCTGGCTTGATCGCAGCGTTCGCAAAGCGAATTGCGGCTTGGGGCAGAGTCCGCCGCGCCTTGCGGGCACTGCGCTGGCAATGGGTCTCAAAGTCCCTGCCCGCACATCTACTCGGCGCGCAAATGGGCATGCTATAACCCATGCATTCTGTTTACATGAACACGTCTGTGCGGAGGGCTTGTTGGGAGGGACAATCTCGTTCTGCGCGGCTTCCGCATAACTTTCACGCGCTTCCATGTTTTATTATTTGCCCTAGGCCCTATTTCACGGCACCGTCCCTAGCCCTGGCCCAATTTGAAGCGCGTGCCATGTTAGCTGAGCACCTGCAGCCTAATGTCTATACCGATACTTATGCATGTTGTGATGCCTTCAGACTGAGGGCTGTGATCGGTATCGATACCTTCAGTTTGGCAAGGCTACCAAGTCTTGCATCGTACAGCCTTGCTCCAGGGGACCAATCCCTGCCACACCTGGCGTGCGTTCGGCACAGCCCACACCGAAGTTTCTTGGCAGTCGCAGATCACTGTCGATCGGAAAAGGACCGGCTCACTCAGTCTCAACGACGGAGGCGGCTCGTACAAAAGTAGTCAGGCGCAAGGGCTCCAACGGCCGGAGATCGGCGCAAGGCGACTAGTGCCACTTGAAACAAGCACGGGCCCTCCTCAGAAGATTGCTGAAGCAATGGGGTGAACCTGCTCAGTGCTTCTTGCGTCATAAGGCAGGAAGTGCCAGCCGAAAGAAAACAAAGGAGCCTTGGTTGTCGCAAAGCACTCCTCACCAACACAAGACCTAAGCCTGGGCTAGTGCCTCTGGATCAGAATCTGCCAGGACTCTGTAAACATCCGCCTTCACAATCGCAAGCACTTCGAGACCAACGGCCATATCGACCTTCTCGTTCTGCAGCCTCGCTACAAATGGTAGCACGCCACGCGTTTCGCCACACTCTGGTACCATCCGAGCAGGTTAGCTTGCAGTCTACCTGACTGTCTCTTATGTGCAACAGCTCAAGTTAAAACAGTTTACGTTGCGGTCAATCTGTGGGCAGCAGATCTTACAATATCTGAGCAACACTTTGCCACATTGTGAAAACGGCGTGTGTTGAAACATGGCTACACTATGCTACACTTACAGAGCCCCACCTGAGTGTGCCCGCACTCCGCAAGGGTCACGCCTCCACGACTGCTTCCTGTCTAGCAGGACTCTTTAATCACCTAGTTTTGAGTTGTGGCAAGAATCGTCGAAGTGTGGGCCCTTTGTGACCGAGTAGTGCCGTCTCGCCACTTGACAAGGTCCATATAGGTCCGTGTCTGAAAAATCGGCCAAGATCCCGGTTTGTTGGAAACACGACTGCGTCGACACAACTAGCATCCTCACACCTGCGCGCCCTCTGCGACTTGGTACGCAGTGAGAGTTTGGCGAGGCAGCTTGCTGCCATTTGCGGCAACCCTCATGGCAAGCAAGCGCAGCGACAACCTAGAACAAGCGCATAGGCGTTGCCTTGGGCGCAGCTCAGACAAGTCAAAGCCTGACAAAAAACGAACTCCACAGCTCATTGCGGATGAGCCGTTGCCACGTCAGCTGCTTCATGGGGAATATTTGTGTGTATAAGTACCCTTACCCACTTAAGAGCCTGCACATACTGTTTTGACGCAAGCAGTGAGGATGGTCCGGCATTCAGTGCGGCAATGCCATTCAGCCTGCGCCTGATCTACCCTGGCTCCGTCAGCGCTTGCAAGGACTGCTCCATGCATAGATGGCTCGGTTCATTCTCGCTGGGTATCCCGTGGCTCCTCTGTGCGTTCGGCGCTGGCGGACAGATAAACGGAGGCCGGTAATCCTGAGAGTCAAGGTCCCTTAAATGCAGCCCTGCCGCTGGAGCAGGGCAAAGTCAGGAGCGAAAGAGTCCACGCGCTCTGCAAGGTCAAGCGCAAGAAAGCTGAAGCCTTTAGAGCGAAACCGAAGCAGTTTCGCACAGCTGCATTTCCAGGGCATCTTGGAAGAACAACAGCTTCTTGGACGATTCTTAGTCGCAGAAACTGTGCGAAGACTACTATGGACATGTTCTTGCGAAGGCAATCGTTGCTAAGCAGAGTCAAAGGCATTCTGATAGGCCTACCCTTGCTTCCATTGACATCTGTGGGAGTACCTGGAAGATAAATTTCCAGGGGCCCCTTGTCTCCATTGCCATGTTAGTGGGGATGGTAAAAAAAAGATTCATGGAAACGCACTTCTAGAACGGAGAGCGCTTCCAAGAGCCCGGAACGCGAGTCACACCCAGCTACGGTCGCTTTCGCCATTGGCACGGACTCCAGTTCCCACTAAAACACGTGACAAATGTGGACATCGCCAATGCCTGTCTCACTTGCTCTCCTGTTCTGGCAACAACAGCACGGCTGTAGCGCAAATGCTGAAAGAAGGCAACTTGGAACTGAGCCCTTGGGCAGCGAAGGTAGCTCAGCTGGGGCAAATCCCAAGGCGCCGCCCAGCTGCAGCAGCTGATGTGGCCAGAAAAGCCTTGCCTGTGCAACTTCCTGCAATGGGTTCAGCATGAAAATGGCTCAGGAAATGCCACACATACAAGCGCAACAGGGGCGCATCGCGCAAGGCCTGAATCAACATCGGCAGTTAGGATGAGACCTACTTCAAACACGCGCCACACGTTGAGGTATCCAGAAAGCAGTTGCTGCGTGCAAGTACACTCTCTCTGTCTCTCTGATCTCTCCCCCTCGCTCTCTGTGCTGCAGGCATCACGAAAGACTGTGCACAGGAAATGCTCCTCCAGGTAAACCGACCCGTCCAGCGCAACAGCGGAAAGCTGGACACGTAAAAGGCTGAATGCGCTTTCAGTTTAAGATCGCAACCTCATGCTGCATATCCAGCCTTTGGGTTGCAACTGCCGGCGCTACTGCTTGGGTGGGGTGCAAGAGGCCTGCCAACTTGTGGGACGAGAGCCGGCACGCGCAGGCTTGACACGAGCTGGGAGATCTGCTTCGACAAAATCTCATCTCACAGTACCAATCGTCTGCGTGTCAGTCGGTTGGATTTGATGCTCACGCCCGACAACAGATTGGAGTGCTTTCCAGAGAGCGCAACTGCTTTGGTGGTGCAAAGTCTGCCTGATGAATTGTAGCCGCGAGAGGCAGCTGAGCAGGCCATCAAAGCTGTTTTTTTGCGCGCACCGATGTGCTGTGCCCGGTTACTTGAGTTCTTGGAACAAACGAACGAGTACATCTTCATGACATTCTCGAAACATGTTTTTCAGATTAATGCTTTGTCGCGCTATGTAGAACTGGACATATCTCCCTTGCGCTCCTTTGAGATGCCTTGACCAGCGCAAGCAAATCGACAAAGGAACCTTACGATGGTAGGTTCAGCTGCCGCGACAAACAGGCAGAGTTGTTCCCAAGGCAATGGCATGCCTCGAGAAATGGTTTTGGCTGGGTTTCTTTGGGAACATCTGTGGACGATGCTGGACAAGTCTCTCTTGCGCCTCCCTTCAATATGAACAACATTGTTTGCATCCGGGCTAAAGGTGCCTGAGAAAGATCCTCCGGATTGAATGTATTCAGCACAGTCAGGAAATCAGGGTGGGTTCGTCCAGCTCACTCAAGTCCTTTCTCCCTCGACTAGTCTTCAGAACTCCGTACCTCCTCGACACACTGGCAGTTCATCTGCAATGTTCCTTGCAAGATTCGGCCAACCAAGAACATATCATTTGCACACATCGGACAAAAAGGCAAATCCTCAGAAAGCGAAGCCATTGCCTCGGGAAAGCCACGCGACCCACGCAATGACATATTCTGCGCACACCAACCAATTGCAGTTGTAAACGCCGCTCCAAGTTGCGCTTTGCAACACCAATTGTCTCCGTTCAGGGAACTTACTTGGACATTGAATTTGCAAATTGGTGCAATCTACCGAAAGGGGCCAATGCCTGTGTGCGCAAGCACACTGCTTACCAACCCTTGAACACACCTGACAGAAACAATGAACCCGAGTTCAGACTAATTACCCAAAGCTACCATTGTGTGTGTGTGTCCATGTTTCTATCTATCCGCCTTCTTCTTTATTCTTGCTTCTGTTTGCGCATCTCTTTATCTATCCATTTATTTGCCTATGTCATAGTGTGTCCCTCCGAATGTCCACCGCGCAGCTGCACGTCTATCCGCCTATCTATCTACTTGTTGGCTGCCTCTGTTTGTATCTATCAAATCCGCTATTCTAAACTAGGCTAACCTGACCTAAGCCATCCTATCTGTTGATCCACATATCTATCGTCCTACCTGCCCAGCTATCTAATTATCCCTGTTATCTGTCTATCAACGAATCTGACCAAATCTGTCTGTCACCCACTCCACCTCTCCACCGAGCTACCTATCTATCTGCCTATCTACTCCAGCACAATCTACCCATCTGTCTTTATTCCCTACTCTAACCCATCCATCTTGTATCTAGTGGTTCAACCTAATAGGTCCAGCCATTTATCATTGGCCGAGACCTGGGTCGTGCTTTGCGGTTGCGCATTTCGACTGCGCAGGCCCGCGCCCGTGAACAAACTTGGTGTCTTTCAAGGGCGTGCCCTCGCTGCGGCGCCGCGCGAGCGGGGGATTGATGATTCGGTTCGGTCGGGTCGTTCTGCTGGCGCAGAAGCGACTTCTTCACGCCGGCCCTCTTGCCCGAAGGCTTGCGATAAAGCTGCGCGCGTCTGGTGGCCCGGGCACCGAGAACCTCTCCGACGTACGGGGGTACGCACTCCGAGAAAGAATCCGCTGATAGCCTTGACTCTGCCAGTCCTGGATTGTCCATGTGTCATCACAGTCATAGAAATGGGCTGCTGCAATGTCTGCATACGTGCCGCCTTTCGGGACCATGCAGTGATCCTGGGGCTAGCACGGATCCTTCCATATGGCGCACACTGACTCTCCAGGCTGGTAGAAGCCCAAAGGTGGAAAGCGAGCAAAATACAATCAAACACAATGGACATGACGCACAACCTACAGTACACGAATCCAGCAACCGCTCAGAAGACGCAGAGCACAGCAGTTGCTGTTCAGGTGCCAAAGAAGAGGACATAGAAGATCGGCGTTGTTGCTGGCATTGGTCACAAACAACACCAGAAGATGGCCACATAGGACGGGACCGCCGAAGTCGATCTGAGCTTCCATCTGCAATCCTTGCTGCGCACACAGTCGTAGAATACGTGCCGCCTTTCGTGACCATGGGCGTATGCGGGCAACCCTGCCTACGCAGAAAGGTCGGCTAACACGGATCCCCCCATATTGCGAAGCCGCCTTGATGGCTGCGCACTGACTCTCCAGGCTGCCCCGGCAGAAGAAGCGAGCAAATGCAAATCAAACACAATGAACATGACGCGCAACCTGTAGTACACGATTCCACTAACTGCTCAGAAGACGCCTAGC